TGCATGTTACGCGCTCACTATTTCGTGCCTTCACGTTGCAAATCTGGAGTGAGACAAAGTAAATAGAGTGAGACAATGTTAACATTGTCTCACTGATGAGCGAATTGGCCACTTTGCTTTCTCAAATCAGTGAGAGAACATGTACATTGTTAGGTAACTGTAGGAAAAGCATATTACACTCTTGAGGAATTTTTCGACGACTCTTGGTAACAGACACCCATTCTCTTATCTACCTCTCCTAACACAAACAGTTCCACCATGCTGTAGCTTTTGTAGGGGTACCTTAATGGCAAAATCTTAGTTTTTTTATATTTAGAATCTATATGTTAATTTGAAACTGTTTTTCTTTGTGACAGCTAATTTGAGAGAACGGCTGGGCGTAGAAACTCGGTAGAGGTGTCTAAAGAAAGGGCTTGATCTGTAGATGAGCCATCAAAAGAGAAATGTGGTGAATTCCCTTGGGGCTCTGCCCCAGTGGCCTTTAAATTCCCATCCCATGTTATTCTTATGGGGGGAAAAGGGTTTTTGTCACAGCTAATTTCAGAGAATGTCTGGGCGAAGAAACTCGGTAGAGGTGTCTAAAGAAAGGGCTTGATCTGTAGATGAGCCATCAAAAGAGAAATGTGGTGAATTCCCTTGGGGCTCTGCCCCAGTGGCCTTTAAATTCCCATCCCATGTTATTCTTATGGGGGAAAAGGGTTTTTGTCACAGCTAATTTCAGAGAATGTCTGGGCGAAGAAACTCGGTAGAGGTGTCTAAAGAAAGGGCTTGATCTGTAGATGAGCCATCAAAAGAGAAATGTGGTGAATTCCCTTGGGGCTCTGCCCCAGTGGCCTTTAAATTCCCATCCCATGTTATTCTTATGGGGGGAAAAGGGTTTTTGTCACAGCTAATTTCAGAGAATGTCTGGGCGAAGAAACTCGGTAGAGGTGTCTAAAGAAAGGGCTTGATCTGTAGATGAGCCATCAAAAGAGAAATGTGGTGAATTCCCTTGGGGCTCTGCCCCAGTGGCTTTTAAATTCCCATCCCATGTTATTCTTATGGGGGAAAAAGGGTTTTTGTCACAGCTAATCTCAGAGAATGTCTGGGCGTAGAAACTTGGTAGGGGTCTCTAATAAAGGTATTAGTCTGTAGGTGAGCCCTCAAAAGAGAAAGGAGGTAAATTTCCTTGGAGCTCTGCCCCAGAGGCCTTTAACCCTCCAAGTGTCCATAGTTAAGGCCTTAATGTCCACCTATTTTTGGCGCATTTGCAAGGTTTTATTAAAACGGATCTGAGAAGCTTAAAACAATGTTAATTCTAATGTTCTATATACCATTTTGTTTGGAAAATCATGGGCTTCAATATTATATATAAAACATAAGGAACATTTTTTCAAAAAAAAAAATTTTTAGGTAAAAAAAATATAATTTCAAAAATTTTCAAAAAAAAAATAAGTTCGCGCTCAATGAAATTGTATAAATTATAGGCCTATAAATATTTGAAAATAGCCACTTTGTTTTAAATTTTATGAGGATTACAAATATATAATAATATAAGGAAGTATATTTGCAAATAAATAAGTTATGGGCAAAAAACTGATTTCAGTACATAGCGTTTAGCTAAGAATGCATAGCCTAACCATAGCTAGGAATCTGGCTGATAATTTACATCAATATCACTACCTACTTCTTCAGGATCATCAACCAGCACTTCAAAACCACTTAAATCTTCTTATAATGCACCACGTATATCACTACTTTTGATTTTTAACACTAAAACAATGATAAACGTAATAAAACACATCAGTCATCGGTCCGGGGGAACCTAGCTGTTTACAAATACACGCACGTCAGCTGTCTGCTACAATATTTTCGGAACTAAAATGAATAGCGCTTAGAGACAGACCTCTGGAGAAAGCTTAGAATATTACGGAAAGAACGATACCTAACTCGATCCAGTTCAATCCGATTCAGTCAGTCATTGAGCCTTCGCCGTAAACGATGTCTGCGTGTCGAAAAATCGACAAGTAACACTACACAAAGTGTGCTGCTTGTCGAATTTTCGTCAAGTAACACTGGGAGGGTTAAAGTTCACTCAGCAGTTTTGTTTACACTACTTTAATGAACCAGCTGTTAATATCAAAATTGTATTCAAATGTCTACTGAAACTGTCAAAAATTAATGTTTACATTATTATTTATATTTTAAATTGATTCTCCACTGCATGACAAGTTTTTATAGTTTCAACAAAATGATTAATTTATGAATCTATGCTTTATTGCTCTTAGAAAATTTTAAATTATGAAATAAGTGCGACATATCAATTTCAAAGGAACATTATAATTATTCTTTATTGGGCTTATAAATATATATATGAATATAGTGTAATGTTGGTACTTGCCTTTTTTTCCTATACTTTCAATCACTATTTATTATTGAATTAAAGAAAGAACACCAGAAATTTATTTATTGGTATAAACGTTATCGTTAATCGGGTTGAAAAATGTGTCATAGATTAGTACGTTGAGGATCATCATCTTTTGAAAAATGATAAGATATTTAAGTCATCAGAAATTTATGACTGTAATTTGTTTTAAAATCCTGTGATACTTAGCAATTGCTCGAATTCGAGCAACAGGTACACTAGTTATTTATTTATTAGAAACCTTGTCAATGTACCTGTCTGTGTATTATGTTTGTAATAATTGTTTTTGGCCTCTAGGAACCTCAAAACGAAAAAAAAAATCGGTCCCGCGTCCAGGTCTTACCATGAGTACTACGGTAATAGCTTATTCCCTATATGGGAAATTCGCTAATATTCCCTATATGGGAAATTCGCTAATATTCCCTATATGGGAAATTCGCTAAAAGAGGTTGAGGTTTTCTCAGATTCCTGAGTGGATTTTAATCACCCTTCCAGTCCTTGACTGTTGTAACAACAACCCCGAGTTCATCACTAATGCTTTCAACTGATTCCTCTTTATCAAGTCATTCTATTGCTTTTGATTAGCAATACCTTTGCCATCCTCAGGCAAAGGCAAGCAATGGTTTTGTATTCATTGGCTATATCTAGATCCAGTATTGTACAAGGGGGAATATGAATTGAGTTGTTTCAAAACTCCATAATTTTAGTTATTTGATTTCTTAACTAACTTTTGGTTCTGTGAATTGGATGGATAAGGATTTTCAATTAAATCATGACACATATCTTTTAAGCTCTATATTAAATTATGGTCTATACAATAATATTGAAACCTAATGTACCAGCAAGTAGCAAGTGATTAATCTTTTTTTTTTATTTACAATATAATTGACTAGAAAGAATAACAAATCTAGCTAAAGGGTTAAGTTATTATGATCAAGGCCGCTCTGTACACAAAATACAATATAAAATAATTGCCTGTAGTAGCCTATATTTGTCTGCCAGTTTATAGATAAATTATAGTTTTTTTAAAACCATAATCATAGCAGACCTAGTAAATGTTTAATAATTAGTAACACATGCAATGCTAACAGGGTTCTAGCATAGATAAAAGGAGTATGGTTCTAGGTTCTAGCATTAATTATTGGATACAGAAGCCAATATGAATAGTCAAAGTTGTATCAATAGTCTAAGGTTCCAGTAAGCAGAGAGTTTGGCTGACAATTAAGACAATGAATAATGAGAGTTTGATTATTGAAAATGCCTGCTTAAACAATTACTTTTTCCTACAGTCACCCGACAGAGTTAGCTTCCTTGTACTGTTTATAGTACAGAAAGCTGCTAATTGCTGCATATTTATACTTTGTCGTATGGTTTATACTTTGTTGTACGGTTTATACTTTGGCGCACATCAGGATTCCAACGAAACAACACAAAACAGCGTGGTTCTATTATGCACCTAATCCGTGTACGCTTGGAAATAGGTTGGCAACACTTAAAGATAATATTTTGGGCAGCTGATTGACTATTATAACTACGATTTAACCTGTCATTTTGTGTTTATAGTTTCGGTATTTTGAACTTTCTGGACTTTTCTTTTAAACGTTTTTAAAACATTCCTACGATCTTAATAAACAAGAAAATACCTTTAAAGCATTTTTTTAGGCGTGGAAACCACTTCAAATTACAAAAACATACGGAACCATATCCTCAAGTCATGGAGCACATTTCTTGCTGAAGAAAAATAGCGGAGTGATACGGACCGGGTACTACTTTCTCTAGGGCACCTATTTGTGTTGCCAGCTGAACCTAAAAACGTGTTGTATAGTGTTTGAACGACTAATTATTTATATGCTTTAGTGACGTAGGAAAAATATAATGTGTAACACGAGTGCAAAAGGCCTTTGCTGCACTCGAGATCATTCCGCACGAGCCGCGCTCTCGTGTGCAGCAAAGTGCCACTTTGCCCACTTGTTACACAAATAACTATTGGCATATCATACTACAGATGATACGAATGTTTATTTATTATCAGCTGTCGGTTTAGTTAATCTTATTTTGTTCAATGTCTTGTAAATATTGACCAGAAATACAGTCGCTTAGTTATAACTTAGTTTTCCCTAAACACCTCCACTTGGAGAATAATTCAAGAAGGACTTGTGTCACTCTCAGCTGCCTCCTCTTGAGGGTCAAGTACACAGTAAGATACAAGCTACTAACTGGTGAGTGCGCTAGTTGTCGAGTATAGTAGCCAAGTGGCTGGTGTGTTGTATCACTAATTTTTGGAAACTGATTTCTATCAATAGTCAAAGGTTGTTGCTGTGTCATTTTCCTGTTCACCTGTAGTTCTCAACATATTTATACAAGCTGGATCTGAAGGGTCTGCTATCTTTAGTAATGTATTTGTTGTGTCATACTCTTTCCTTTTTTTGGTTTCTCGTTTTGTTGTCTAATTGATCTTTTTTGATCATCACTTTTGATGCAACTACAACTTCCACTAGTATTAATTCCTCCAACACTATGAAGACTAATTCTAACTGTGATTACACTTGGCTAGTTTACGAACTTCAACTTGGTACCTTCACCAATAATGAACTAACTAGAAGTAGTTTATATAAATATAGTAGTTTATAGAAGTAGTTTTTCTGACCCACCTATCAGCAAGGCTTCTATGATATATTCAAGTAATATTGTGATCCATTTCATCACCAGTTTGTGGCATTGTTAATACTTGAGTGATTATTAAATATGACAAATAATGGCTAAACGTACCTCGTCAGACAATCCTAGACATGTAGTAACTAGTAACAATCATTGTCTGGTGAGGTAGGTTTAGCCATTATTTTTCATATAAACGCAATCCTGGGGCTATGAAAATGAATTTTAAATATTAAATATGGTTAAAACTTCTTTCATACCAATATAACACACAACTGTGTAGTCCAAAACACTTAAGATAATTCACAGAGATTAACATTCTATGGACATTGGTGTCTGAAAAAATACCTCTCATTGACAACAATTGGGTAGTAAAATTTATTTTTGTCTAAAAATAACAATAAAATAAGTATTGCTTTACATATTCAAAAGGTCATACAGAAAATTAATGGTAGTTAAGTGGTACTAATCTTAAACAGCAGAACCCTTAGAAAAACCTAATCTTAATGACTGTTCACTTTTGCTGATCATTTGAGCCGCAAATATATTTATTTCCTCTAGAGGGAGCAATGAAAATGATCTTTTAATATGATTTGATGTTTACGACGACCCAAGCAAAAAAGTATGGTCTTACTTAGGAAAACAATTGTTGTACCTTTCAGGAAAAAAACCCACCAAAAAAATAGAAACTATTACTTTGTACTGGGGGGTTTTGAAGAGATTTCTATAAAAAATTAACGAGGTAAAAACATTAAAAGTAATATTAAAATAGAATAATAGTACACAATCACCAAATTTTGTTTAAAAAGTTGTGCGTTCAACATGGAAACTTCACTATAAGTCTAGAATCGCCTTTTAAGCTAGAATACCATGTAAGTAAAAAAAACTGCTCTCAACTAAACTGGAAGATAAGAAGCAGAATAGGAAGTTTCAAATTCTCTAATGAAAAAATCATAACAGATATGTCTAACTTTAAAATGGCATATTAAAAAGCTTATTCTATTTTTTGATCTTATTGAAAACAAACGGTATCAGCAACTGACACATACTTCTTATCAACAACCCTTATAACGGGTAAGCGGTGTGAATAATTATTATCTTTGATCGTTAAAATCACAAAAATTACAACAACTTTTGAAACCTAATTTTTACAGGATTTGGGCTACTTCAATTTTGTAGTTTAAAGGACCATAACTTACTAAAATTAGTAATCAACATTGTTTTTAGTGTTTTTTTATCCATTTTTTCTTTAAATTCATGATGATGATGATGATGACACAATGTGTCGAAACATGTTCTGACTGAAAATTTACCATCCAGTATTGAGCTATTTGACGTAAGTAATTTATTCTTAAAATTTTTTCTGTTATTTTATGGGGTTTTATAAAAAAATCACCATTAAAATCAAAATTTTGAAAACCATTTTAAAAAACAACCTTTAGATACCATGGAATATCACCCACATAGGCCTACTAAATCTCATCAAAATCGGTGTAGTCTGTACACATGGACGCTCACACGCCTGTATACAAACAGACACATAATTTGGAAAACTATTTTTTCGGGTTAAGGGGGGACCCAAAACGGATATTTCCACCCAAAACTCTAACTCAAAAATTTTGAAAAAAATCATTTCTCCATATAGGGGGAAGATAGTAAAAATCACTAATAATGTTTTGAAGTTTCAAATACTTATATATTTATGGTAAACAGTAAAATCTTATGGTCATTTCAATTAAAATGCGAGGCTTGTCCAGAAAGTAAGTACCGTTTTGGAAAAAAACATATAGATAATTTTTTTTTTACAAAATTTATTACTACAAGAAAGAGGATATCTTAAACTATTTTTCTACCTAGTTTCCACCATTGTTTAGCCATTTGTCGCCATTGGAACATTTTTCGTACCCTTTTGCGTAAGCATTTTTGGAACCCAACGGGAACACATCTTGCTATAATTCAAGTGATTAACCACAATATCATGTAAAAGAGATTTTGAAATTTGTGTGAATTCATCAGAAAGCATTCTTATTCTCGAATGTTTACATTCCCTTTTTCAACCAATTCCTGACTCACAACAAATGGCCGCCCGCTGCAAGCCCCGTCATGAAAATTGGTTCGCCCATCATTGAATTGTCGAACCCATTTTCTTACCATTCCATCACTGATAACTTTTTCTCCATAAACTTCTGTAAGTCGGCGATGAATTTCAGCAGGCTTCACGTTCCTTGCGTTCAAAAATAGTATTACAGAACCCATTTCACAGTCCACCGAATCAGAAATTGTTTCAAACATTTTGAGTGCACACTAACTAATATAAACAAGACACAATTTGGTCGTAATTGCGTCAGCTGTTCAACAATTAACCAAGGAGACTAGTGCGCATGCGTGTAACATCGTTGTCAGCGCTCTGCCGGCGGTAGAACGAAACGGTACTTACTTTCTGGACAAGCCTTGTAGCAGTGATGATTAGTAAAAACTTAGAGCTATGTTACAAATTAATTTTCATTACATTAAGTCAACTATATTGATGATTCAACCAGTGTTTTTGACTAGATAAAATATTATTGTTTAATACTGGACTACAAATACATATGCCATTTAATCAAGCGAGATGCCCTGTATCCAGGAGCTAAGGTCGTTTGTCTGATCACACTCTATCACCATTTCGTTGGGTTCAGCGGAGTCTGGTGAGAGCAGGAGGGTGGCTGCTGTCCGCCCAGTGAGGTACGCTCCATGTACAGTGGAGTAGAAGCTGCTGTGGGTGTGCTCGCCCGCAAACAACACAGCAGGCTGGAAACAAACAAGATAATCAGATTAACTGATTAATCACTGATAAAATCATTACATTTATAAGAATTATTGTTAACAGACTAAACAACAGCTTCCTATTCCAGACAAAAGCCTTAGTTTTTTTTCTTTTTTTTATCAGGGCGAGCAAAGCTCTTATATTAATCCCCCGCTTTTATTTTCCACTTACTCCTTCTGAACAGCTGAAGTGATCCACACAAAATTTAGCACAGTAATAGTAACCAACTATGGGAAGGTAAAAATCAGAAATGGTACAAATCGGACTTTATCGGAATTTATTTTTCTACAGTTTTTTTTTGCCCCTTCAATATTTAAATTGTTTGTAATCATGTAAAAATTTTATAAGCCAAATTTGTTACTGTTTAAGAAGTAGGAAATATATTTTTGTACAGTTAATAGTTCACACTGACTCAAGACCAAGATGAAGATGGAAAAGACAGGATGGAGCCCGAAAGGATTTTTGAGATAAGAATATGCTTATATGTTAATCGGGAATGTGAGCTTTCATCATGCCAAATTTCAGCCCAATCCGTCCAGTGGTTTATGCGTGATTGAACTTCAAACAAACAAACACACAAACTTTCACATTTATAATATTAGTAAGATAAGATAAAAGGCCTTAACCCTCTGTCAGTCGTTCAAATAATTATCAGAAGGGGGGGGGGGTCTGTATGTATCATTTGCATGTTTTTTGTAATGATTGATTTAACTGTTATAATATTTAAAAATTTTCTCTGACTAATTATATTGTATTTGAAGTATTATAAAGGATCTAATTCGATTCATCACCATCAAAAATGTTTTTGTAAGACAATGCTCTTCAAGTAATTTTTCACTAAATGGGAACAGTCACATTGTATCATTTTAATAACAAATGTCAAGTTTAGTTATAAATAATTAGTATAAATGTTAAGGAATAGTTGCCAACTATTTGTTTTTAATTTGCTCAATCACTATCAGTGTCTAAATCATAGATTTTCTTTTGGTAAGAGATGTTTAACCCTTTTTGGTCGTACATATCATTTTCTTTCCCTTCCCTATGGATCAAAAAGGCCACACTTAGTGGCCCTCTCAATTTGTTTAAGGGAAGGCGGAATCCCTATCTCTGTAATGCTAACGTAAGGTAACTATTTCGAAAAACTATATGGCCTATCAGTACGGTAGTTCCTGATAAAAGGTACATAACATGACAAAAATAACGATTTGTGGAAAACGGCGTATAACTTAGGCCTTAGGCCTAGGGGTATAGAAAATATGTGATATGCTTTATTTTGCCTACCTTAAACATTTCAGACCCATATTTTCCTCCAATAGCTTTTTCCAGTTTTCATCCTTTCTTTCAAAGCTATTGCTGCCCCCATCACCAAGGTAACTTACATATTTAATTAAAAAATATACAAATATTTCAAAACAAAAACCTCATTTCAAAAGAAGTCAGGCCTCGCCTATGCATCTGTTCCAGATTTTTTTTACACGGGTGAAATATTTTTAGTACCAAAGTGTTATATATCATTCTGTCCTGGAAGAAAAGCTCTATAATTTGAAGAAATAGTAAAAAAATGCCAAAAAAAAAATATTTTCCTTATTGCGGGAGGCAGTAAGGAAAAAATTAATACGCGACATTGTCAGTGCTGAAGGTAGCCCCACAGCTTGGGGCGGCCACGATTAGTGGCCATCCACGCGATTCCTGTTAAGCTCAGCTGTCCACCCCATAGTGGCCTCCTGTTTCTCTTCATAATGATTAGTCATTTTGTTTTCGATTCACTCGGCTTCGGGGGTGCTGCGCTTCTTCGACAATCATCAGAACTATCTGGAGACAACAACAAGCCGTTGTTTTTATGAGCTTGTAACAATATTTTAGTGTTTTCCTTAGTGAGTTATCAGCTTGTGTTTTGCAATAGTCCTTTTATGCCCGATTTCACCAAATTCCGCTAACGATGGTTTAGTTAATCTTCGGTTAAAACTAACTGGTGATTTAAACCACAGTTAAGGAAATCTGGTTTCACCAACAAAAATGTGTCAAAACTAACGCTGGTTTTATAAACGAGAGTTTAGAGTAAAATCCAGGTGGCAGTGGCAGTAAACTGTCATAATACCGGGCTGTTATGGGAGCAATAAGTAAACATAACCTAGAAAATAAATCGGTCTTTATGAGGTAGTGAAAACAAAACTGGAGACAGCGAGATTACAAGAATATAATAGATTCTGAGCAACAAGAACAAAATAACAACAGAAAACAAGAACAAAATAACAAAAGAAAACAAGAACAAAATAACAACAGAAAACAAGAACAAAATCACAACAGAAAACAAGACCAAAATAACAACAGAAAAAAAGAACAAAATAACTACAGAAAACAAGAACAAAATAACAAAAGAAAACAAGAACAAAATAACAACAGAAAACAAGAATAAATAGCAAAACATTTAACATGAGTAAATAAAGGCAAAGCAATGTTGATAAAACAGATTCAATTGAGGAACAAATTGATAGTTTTGCTGTTGAGTTGAGCAAGACTCAAAATCTAATTTTTTACGGTACATTGTGAAATATTGAGAAATCTTGAGGCAAAAAGAGTTACAAGAACGAGACATAATAAAGATAATATAAAAATAATAATTTTATATAAATACTAGCAGGAATTTTATATAAATGAAACAAGGAATTTGATAATGTAGGCAGAAAACACTTTTTCCAGCAGGGATAAAAGAGTGGCTCTTGATCGCCGATCAGTTTTACGCGATCGCTGATCACATACTAGCAAAAACATCAATATGGCCAACTAACTATTAAACTAAACATTCTCCAAGTAACACAGAAGGAACACACAGCCATCATAGAAGATCTGGATACTAGAGAACACTCATATCTGGTAAGAATCGAACAAATACGAGAACAAATAATGAAACTAGACAACACCTTGGAAAAGGAAAAAAAATAGTCGAAGGGACCTACAAAGCGTTTTTGAAGAGCATGATAGAGAGCGAGTGCAGAATATAGAAACATACCTAAGTGAAATAAAAGAACTACAACTGAAGCTAAGGAATGCCGAAAGAGAACAAGCCCTAAATGAATGCAAGGAAGTAAAAGATGCTCATACTCAAACTAAAAGCAAATCAGTAGAAACCTATGATCCTATCTCAAACACAACCCCAGCAATCTTACTCAGAATCCATGACATGCATAACTCCATAACTGCTATCGAGGACAGACCACAGATGCTAACTGGTAGTAAAAACAACCATGCAGGCAACATTTCTGAATTATCGAAGGACTTTAAGAGGAAAGAGGGGAAAAACTTAAAAAATACAGAAAAAGCAATAGCCCTCCTTCAAAATTAATCAACCAAAATACTTTCACAGTCTCAAACACAAACAATGCCAATCAAGTGACCGAAGAACACCTTAATAAACATAGTATGTACTGATGTTATCTACCTGGACAACCCTACAGCCGACTCTCTTGAGCAACAAGAGATAAGCGATGCGGAGGACATGGTCACGTGCCAGACAAGAGCAGTAGCTAGAGGGATAATCCGGAACACCTCAGTGAACTCAAATACAGGGTGTGTATCCTTCCTCAACACCAAAGATGTGACTAACATTAGCAAACTAAATCTTGCCTGCTTTGTGCCTGACCAAACTCCCCTCGTATCCTCACAACTAAACTCAGATTAGAACTCTAGATTGGAGTAGAGCATGTGGAATGGGTTTTTATGATCATGACTCGGCTAAATGCTCCCTAATTTTGCCCCCAGAAACCTTAACAGAAATAAAAAATAGAGTCACAGCCAATGAAATGTCTTTCAATTGTCTTGTCACTATAACTCTACAGAAAAAGCCATACATCATTATCTGCTACAGAACCCAACATAACAACTGGAGGTCAAAACAATTTAAATCTATAGAAATTTTATATGACTGTATCAAATCCTCAACGCTCTTCTCCCTGAATATCAATGAACTGTGGCAGCCTATACAGCCAAACACTGTCTGCATTACCGAAATACTTCAAGCAATCCTTCAATTCAATAGCAATATCATACCTACACAGATTTAGGATCCACATAAACAACAAAAAACTGAAGAAAGCCATTGACCATGTACTTGATAGCTGCTTTGAGCACCAACTGAATCTATCCCGCGTCACAAGCGAGAAGAGCTCGGGCATGTACAGCATATGGAGAACGCAAGGCATAGATTTCAGCCCCCCTGAACCTTCAGAGCCCAAATGTCCAAATGTTCAAATGTCCAAAACACAAGAAACCAAAATGCAATAGCTGTCAAAGCTGCGATGGTGGAACAAATAGAGGTGTGGAAGCAAACAGAGGGGGTCCTATTGAAGAGGTTCTCTGACTTCTACAGAAACAACGCTTTAAACAAAGTGTCACTTACACAGCAAGAGCTAAAAGAAAAACTCAAAGAAAGCCTCAAAGCCAGCCTACAACATAATCAACCTAATCACAGGAGAACCCTTGTTTAGCATAAATATAGGCAAACACTACAGCTATGGTTTTGACGGAACTCGTTTTATTGAACTATTGCACAACAGCAAAATATACTCTGTTGCAACTTCAGTAAAACCTGCAAACAATATTATACTTGTCTCGGAGGAAACAGAAGTGATGAACCAGCTAATTCTTTACAACAGTGTAAAAAATCTCGATATCAACAAGAACATTGATCTGGAACTTGAACTTGTCCAAGGCGTCCCAGGATGTGGTAAAACTACGTTTATAATCAACACACATACAAAGGGTGACTCTCTTTCCAACAAGAGAAGGAGCAACCGATTTCAGAAACCGCTTGAAACAAAAAGATGAAACAGCAAGCTACAAGGACATGAAAGACTCATGCAGAACAATACATTATTTTATTATAAACTCAACAAACCACATAAAATCTGGTGGAAAGTACAACAGGCTAATCATAGACGAAGCACTCATGCTTCACGCAGGAGAAGAACTGTTTGACTGTGCTCTT